ATGAAACTGTTTCATGAAATTCTCTAAAATTAATGAAACTGTTTCATGTATTTCTTTAAAATTAAAATAATGAAGATGATAATATCTATGATTAACACCATCCACAATAAAAATGATTAATCAACCTCTCATAATTACAAAAAAATGAACAAAATAAAAATATATGATTGRTTGAATGCGGTTTGCACGGTTTGTACAAATTGAGTGGTTTGCATTTGATCGCTCCCCTATATATATAGGTGGTAATGACTATGAAATGCAAAGGAGAGTTATTGGGTGGTAATGACTGTTGGTGCTAATACTTTTTCCCATGAAAGTGGCATCCATCAGGTTGGACTCCATCTTTAGTTTAATTGTATAAGGAACATATCCTGTGGTCTAATAATGATCATGGCTTGATATTCTGCTCAATTTAGAGTCTAGTCATGTGACTTGTTCTGATTATATTCAATTAACCTTGTTTACTGTTTTGTAGGACGGAATGCTAAAAAACAAAAGCACATATGAAATAATGTCTTCAGGAGAAAGAATACAAACCTGTTTGTTCCTTCGTATCGAATAAGATTTCCGGTCCTTATTATGCTCATTCAGTAGTGTAATAAACCCGGTAAGCACTTATTTGTTAAGTATTTGGTAAATGACCACATAAAGGGGTTATTGTTCTTTTTTTTTTAAACACTTAGGTGGTGTTTGTATTTTAAAAAGTGCTGAAATCTGAAGTCTGATTTCATTTCGATTTATAAGAGGTGGTTCTGAAGTCTGAAATCTGGGTCAGTAAGATTGTTTGTTTTTACGTCTGAAGTCTGAAATTTGAATCGTCAAACTACTACAAAAATATAAAAGATAAATAGTTTTTACAAAAGTATAAAAGATTATTATTTTTTGCTAACAAATCTCTTCTAGACCCCAAAATATGAACCATTTGATAGAGCACGGATTAGGATTAAGAGGTATTAGGGATATGTTTACCACTTAAAATTTCAGAGGACATTTAGAGCTTTTAAGCTCTTATTTTAGAAATAAAACAAACGCTCTTAATACTTAAACGTCTGAATAAATCAAACTTCATAGGTATTAAGAGGTAATTTTGAAAAAACAAACAGACCCTTAATATCTCTTAATCTGAATCAGTCAGACGTTTTTGTTTTCAGACCGTTTTTTTTTTTTTAAATAAGAGCTGAAAAGCTCTTATTTTACTCTGAACAAAATAGAGGTAACTTAACCTCTTATATCCTCTTAATCAATCCCTGGACTATCAACACGCTTCATCACTGTCTCCTTCTTTAGTGAAAGTTCATAAAAGTTCCTACATAAAATCAAACAACATGATGTCTCCCCACACAACATTCACCGGAAAATTAAACTCCAGTTACTAGTTGCTGGAAAAGCCTGAAGCTGCCTACCTAGCTAGAAATCTCTGCTTCTTTCACCAGCAGTAACGTTTTTTCGAGCACCACCACCCGCCTTCTTCCTTTCATGCTTACCTTGTTTACCATCTCCCTCTTCGGACCCATCTAAACCATCTTCCCCGAACCTCACTTCTTTCCTAGCCGCTGCATAATCAAACGATGTCACCTTAACCAGCCCGTCGAACTTTCATCCTCATGGTGCGACATCTTTTTTCATCAGCAGTCTTTACGCACTTCTCCTCACTTGTTTTGTTTTCTTCCAGATTTGATTTTCCCAACAAAAAAGTATTTTTGTGTGTATTGTGTTTGTTGGAGAGAACTCGTACCGGGAGCGCGAAAAGGAGAAAGGGTTTGAGGATTATTTGAGATTTTGAATAAAAAATTATGTTTTTTTATGCTTTTGATTTTGGTGTGATTATTTAGGATTTTCATTTTCAAAATTGAAGAAATGGAGATGAATATCCAATTTTGAAGTTGAAGAAAGGTTGTTCTAGGATTTTGATTGTGAAGTTGAAGTTGATCCAGGAAGTTTTCATTTTGTTTTTTTGGGTAATTTCATATTTGAGACATAAAAACAAACAGTCTGACTGATTTATATTTCATACTTCAACACCACATTTTATAAATCAGAAGTGAAATCAACTTAAGACTTCAACAGCTGTTAAAAAACAAATGTCGCCTTAGACTTCCAAGTATTTGTTGATATAGATCTACAATCCTTTGTTAACTGACTAAATAGAATTACTCTGTTAATCCATATTAGCCAATTATATAGAGTCTAACCTTTTTGTCATTTCAAATGATTTTTAAATCATTAACAATAATAATGTTATTTTTATATTCTTTAATATTTTTGGGATTCATTTTTATTTTTGTTTCATTTTTGGACAGTTTCAAATTTTAACAAATATATCCTTATTCTTATGCGATCTAAATATGTATATTATATTTGATTTTTATCTTATAAATAATCCCATTAATTAGGTTTTTTGGATGACCCGACGATAAGCGGTAGTCACAACCTCACAGGAAACATAGGCCACTACAAACCACGAAATCAACGCTATCACTAAACCACGAAATCAACGCTACCACTTCTAACTTCTCATCATGCGCGGGCATTATCGCTTCCATCGACAACTTATAACTGTATGTGGTGGATGTAATGGTGGCAAACATGAGGGTTGTCAGAAGAAACGAAAAGGTCCGTAGTTTTAACAATAAACCAGAAAGAAATAAAAACAATGTAGTCATCAAAAAACTGATGGAGATGGTTTGTTCACCTGTGAACATGGCTAAAGGTACATTTGTGAACACAGTTCGATATCTAAACCTCTGTGTTCATCGTTCGAAAATAATTTTTTTAATCATGATTTTACATAATGAAAAGATACTGGCAACAATTTCAAAGAAGATATGTTTCCACAGTGTTGATGATGGATTATAGTTTTGGAAGATATTACCATAAGTCGAATTCAAGATAGATGAAAATCTGATATTGCTCCTCCCATATTATGCATAATAAAAAAATTATAAAAAAGAAAATCTTCTCACAGTGAACCAAGTAAAAGGCTAGTGTTTTTATAAAAAAAATCTTTAGCAAACCTTTTTACTAGAGATTTTTTTTAAGGTCAATCCTATTGGTACGAGAGTGAAATGATAAGAGTTTTACCCTTTGTTCTCCATATTCAATCTAAAAAGAAAAAAAAATATTTCGATTTTCCCTTAATTACCATAATGCCACCGCCTAATCTACAGCCATTAATTAGATAAATGGAAAGCTCTCGTTGATTAGCAAATTTATATCCAACTAGGTAATTTTACCGCATTTCGCGTGGTCGTTGCTGATTTATGAAAGAAAGTATCGATAAGTTTGAATTCGATATAAAATGTTAAAAGGTATCACAGTGATCATGGTAAATTTTATTTTTGAATGTTTTATTTTGCTAGAATAAAGAGAGTTAAAATACATTGGTTGCAGAAAAAAATGAATATGTAAGTTTGAGTTCGATATAAAGTGTTAAAAAGTATCATAATAATTATAGTACAAATTTATTTTTGAATGTTTTATTTTGTTAGAATAAAGAGAATTAAAATACATTGGTTACAGAAAAATGAATATGTAACGTAAAGAAAGTTAAATTGTGAAATGATAGAGAATACATTCTATAGATATAGAACTATAAATGTTAAAAGGTATCACAATAATCATGGTAAAATTTATTGAATGTTTTATTTTGCTAGAATAAAGAGAGTTAAAATACATTGTTTGTAGGAAAAATGAATATGTAAGTTTGAGTTCGATATAAAGTGTTAAAAAGTATCATAATAATTATGGTACAAATTTATTTTTGAATGTTTTATTTTGTTAGAATAAAGAGAGTTAAAATACATTGGTTACAGAAAAATGAATATGTAGCGTAAAAAAGTTAAATTGTGAAATGATAGAGAATACATTCTATAGATATAAAACTAATTTAATGCTTTTGGTTGTCTTATTATAAGAGCAAATAGAGGTGTAATATATTGCTTGTGAAAAATAAAAATATAACTTATAAATAACATATGTTAATTCGATATATTAGTAGGTGTAAAGCTGAATATTACCTTCTATAATGAAAAATCCAATAAAATTGTGACATAGAACGTGGTTATAGTACGGAATTATCAAATTATGTTTTAGTTTGAAAAGATAGGAAATTATCATTTTTTTTTCCTTCTATGAATATCTTGAGTCCTAAAAATACAATAGAAGACAAATACTTAACTGTTTACAAAAATAATCTGCAATCTTCAAAATGAAAATAACAAAATTGTCGATTCGAAATATCTAGATCGACTTCAAAGTCCATATTTTGTGAAAAATTGAGGTAGTAATTCAAATGAAAACATATCATTCCATGTTTTGTGTATCCAGTCTCATGGAGATACTAGTGGGCCATTGAATTGGTTTCTCGAAACTTCAGAGATGAAGGAAACACACCAGCAACTGATTTTGCTATAGACTTTTCATGTTCCTCCATATAAGGTTTCTTTAATCTTCTTCAGTTTGCTTCTAATCACAGACAACATAGTACATACAAAGATCGAGAAAATAGGAGGAGGAAACCCATATTTATTGTTTCATATCTTTCTAAGATGCATAGGGAGATAGAGAGAGGCGTACCGCCAGCTTTACTGTCAATCCATAATTTCTTATCGGGATCGAGAGACAAACAAGAGCAAAGAAGCTTATGATAGAGAAATGTAGAAGAGAAAAAATTGTAACGGTAAAAGATGAAGAGTAAATAAGTTTATGATAGAGAGATATAAAAGAGAAGAAATTGTAACGGTAGAAGATGAAGAGTAAAAATTTTAGATTAAATATAAAACCTAAAATTAAAAAGAAAAAGAAAAAATTGAGAAAAAAGGAATGCGTGAATACTAGTACGAGGAGATGTCACGTCAACATTGCTTGTTTCTGCTTTATAGATATATATAGATCAAAAGAAAAAGAAAAAATTGAGAAAAAAAAGAATGCATGAATACTAGCATGAGAAGATGTCACGTCAACATTACTTGTTTCTGCTTTATAGATATATATAGATTATGTAATAATAATATTTAAAATATTTTCGATGTTCATCTCACAACAACTCTTTGAAAATTCTATAGCATCTTTTCTGCAGTTACAAATCAATATTAAAAAGCATGTGTCCATCACTCCAACAATAGCACCAAAGATGAAATATAGAGTCTCTATATTCTTGTAATTAGTAGAGAACAATCATCGGATCGAATTTATCATAAAATTGAGATTCTTTTGTTTTTTTAATCTGCTTTAGGCTATCTTTGTCTAGGTTCAAACCTCATCTTTATTTATCGTATATAAATATTATATACTTAAAAAAATTATAATTCGAATTATTCATATACCATTGATTAATCACACATAAAACATCGAAATAATCAGTCAGCAAAACATAATGTTACTACAAAATCTGAATTCAGAATCATTGATTTTGTAAAAGTAAGTTGTTGATATTATGTATGACTAGAAATAATAGGAACACATTTTTATTTCACATAAAACCAAATAGTTTTTTTATTTCACCAAAAGCAAACCACTGATATTTTGTCAATCCAAACATCACACACAACCACCATAACAAGAGCCTTAAAACCCACCACGCAGACGGAGAACAAGATGAAGGGTCGACTCCTTCTGGATGTTGTAATCTGCAAGAGTACGACCATCCTCCAACTGTTTTCCTGCAAATATCAACCTCTGCTGGTCTGGTGGAATCCCCTCTTTATCTTGAATCTTGGCCTTCACATTGTCAATGGTATCCGAGCTCTCCACCTCCAAAGTGATCGTCTTCCCTGTCAAGGTCTTCACAAAAATCTGCATCCCTCCCCTCAACCTCAGCACAAGATGAAGGGTGGATTCCTTCTGGATGTTGTAATCCGCAAGGGTCCGCCCATCCTCCAGCTGTTTTCCAGCAAAGATGAGTCTCTGTTGATCTGGTGGGATTCCTTCCTTGTCTTGAATCTTGGCCTTCACGTTGTCAATGGTGTCTGAGCTTTCGACTTCCAAAGTAATGGTCTTGCCGGTAAGTGTCTTCACAAAGATTTGCATGCCACCACGGAGACGAAGGACCAAATGAAGGGTTGATTCCTTCTGGATGTTGTAGTCGGCAAGGGTGCGTCCGTCCTCGAGTTGTTTACCGGCGAAGATTAATCGCTGCTGGTCTGGGGGGATGCCTTCCTTGTCTTGGATCTTGGCTTTCACGTTATCGATTGTGTCAGAGCTTTCTACTTCCAAAGTGATGGTTTTGCCGGTCAATGTCTTGACAAAGATTTGCATACCACCACGGAGACGGAGGACAAGATGGAGAGTAGACTCCTTTTGGATGTTGTAGTCGGCAAGGGTTCGGCCGTCCTCAAGCTGTTTACCAGCGAAGATCAGCCTCTGCTGATCTGGGGGAATCCCTTCCTTGTCTTGTATCTTAGCCTTGACGTTGTCAATTGTGTCGGAACTCTCGACCTCGAGAGTGATGGTCTTACCAGTAAGGGTCTTAACGAAAATCTGCATCTGTTAAAGAATTTAAGAAAAAAAGAGCTATCAGATACACAGATTAATCAACTTATTAACCACACAAATTCATCTCAACGAATTTGTTCTTCAAATTCAAACGGAAAGCGCCTCAGATCATGAATTTTAAAAATTACAAACAGAAAACGCAACGAATCATGAAATATTCACGCAAATATTCATCTGCTGATTGAGAAAGAATTAATTTAAATCATCCTTCGATTCTTCGAAAACAGAAACCGATTTTAGCATTGAATCGAAAAAACAATGAGGCCTTGAGAAACAATTGAAAAGAGAAGCCAAAACAATTACAGAATAATCAATCGGCTAGATGCAGACCGAAACAATAGAAGTAATCGAATCAGACCTAAAAAGTAAAACCTACGTACCGATTAACAATTCATAATAACAAATCGATACAAAATCAAGCAGATCAAATGATAACATAAATATATAACCAGTAAACAAGAAAAGAAAGCATACCTTGGGAGAATTTACGATTTCAGAGGATTGCTAATGAATCGAAGGTGTGGGAAAGGGATGAATTTGGGGGTGGATTTATAGGAGAAGGGAGGAAGATGGTTCACGCAAAGGAAGCTTAAGGTGACGGGTTTGTTACACAATAATCAAACCATAAGGTGACACGTGTATGGCTAGTTGATGACCAAAATATGAAATAAGAGTCGTTGGATTCCGAAATTAATCACGGGCGGTGGTTTCTAGGCGTCTTTTGTGCTTTGGGATATACAACACAATTCAGTAATTAAAAATCAATAATAAAGTAGACTACAAATTTGGTCCTTAGGGTTTTTCGAATATACATTTTTAGTCTTTTTTGTTTTAGAATTACAATATCACTAACATAGTTTGCAAAAATCGAAAGGATTCGTCATTTCTGTTAACGGTCGTTAAAGCAAATCTAATAGATTTTCTAAAATAAATAAAATAAAGTTTTGTTCTATAAATTAGGGAAAATTGCAAATGGAACCAACTTTCATTTAATTCCTATTTTGGGGAACCAATTTTCAAAATCGTCATTTTGGGGAACCAATTTGCACCTGATTCTTATTTTGGGGAACCAACTTTCAAAATCGTCATTTTGGAGAACCAACTTGCACCTGATTCCTATTTTGGGGAACCAACTTGCAAAATAATTATAGAAAATTAACTAAAATTCTTTTTTTTTCCAAAATTTAATGCAATAAAATCTATTTTTCATTTCAAATCTCGTTTTTTTATTCAGAAATCAAATTGAACTTTTAAAAAAAATCCAAAATACTACAATAAAAATTGTTTTTTACTAATGCAAAAAAAAAAAAAAAAACCAGGGATCAAGTCGATACCGAATTCGACTTGTCTTGGCGGGGGTAATCCTGGTAAATCCTCGGGAAATACATCAGGAAACTCCCGAACTACAGGGAAATCGTCAATACCTTTTTCTTTGACCTTCCTATCAATAACATGTGCCAAAATTGCAACATAATTCTTCTTTAAGTACCTCCGCATCTTCATGCATGATACTATCTTAATTTTTCGATCTGACACATCTTCTCGAATCACCATTGGGTTATTTCCTTCTTGAGGAATTCGGATAACCTTTTCCGAACAGACAATTTCAGCTTGATTTTTGGATAGTCAATCCATGCCTATGACTATGTCAAAACTTCCTAGTTCAATCGGAATAAGGTCTATGCTAAAATCCTTATTGGCTAAACTTAGAGTGCAATCCATGATTATGTCTCTAACCTTAATTTATTGGCCATTGGCAAACTCAATTACATAAACTTCTTCCAACCTTTGGGGCTTTAAGTTAATCCTCGACTTAAAATCTAGTGATACAAAACTTCTATCTGCCCCTGAATCAAATAAAACTGATGCAAATTCATTATTCAGGAGAAACGTACCTGAAACCACATTGGGATCATACCTAGCTTCTTTGGCTCCGATCTCAAATGCTCTGCCCCGTGCCTGACTTTCTAGGTTTACTTGACTGGCTGGTCAGGCTTGGTTTGCATTTGCTCCTTGTTTTCTCTTTGGGCATACATTCCTCATATGATCTGGGCACCCACAATCGAAACATAATCGTCTTCGACAATCCTTTGCTGTATGACCCCCTAGGTGGCATCTTTGACAAATGATGCAATTCCCCCAGTGAGGATATTTGCATCTATTGCGCTTAGTCTTGCCTCCTTGATTTACCACCTGAGTCTGTGCCCCAAAATTTCCTCCCACTCTCCTATTCTTGTCAAATTTTCCCCCAGATCTTCGATTCCCATGCTCCTCCATTTTTCTCTTTCCCTTGGCGAATTCTCCGGATTGAACCGCATTATTCGTGAGCTTGATGGCAATATCTATTGCCTCCTTAAGGGTTTTTGGGTTGGCCGAGGTGATGTTTCCTCGGATTTCTGAAGACAATCCCCAAATATATCTCTCAATGCGGACTTCCTCCGGTGTCACTAGATGTGGTACTAGATTCACTAACTCGTGGAATCGGGCCGTATAAGCAGCTATATTTTCCCCTTTCATTTCATGATTCCATAACTCCATTTCTAACTTTTGGAGTTCACTTCTTGGGCAGTATTTATCCTTGAGTAGTTTCTTAAATTCTTCCCAAGAAAGCTGATTAGCCACTTCCCGACCCCTAGTTTGTACCAATGTATTCCACCAGGTAAGTGCCCTTCCTTGTAACAAACATGTCGCATATTCTACTTTATTTCCTTCAATACATTTACTGATGTGAAGAACAGATTCCATGCTCTCGAGCCATGATAATAATCCTACGGCTCCTTCGGTTCCATAGAATTCTTTAGGGTTGCAAGATCTAAAAGATTTATAAGTGCATTCCCTAGACGCCCTCGGCTCTGGATTGGTTGGTTGGTTAGCATTCATGCCAGCAGCCACTTGACTGACTATGTTGGGGAGTGCGGCCAGAAGTTGCTCTGACACGAGTCGTGCAACCTCAGGGTTTTCTCTTCTTGGCGGCATCTTCTAAGGCCTAAGTCAGAAGGGAATTCGTCATTTTATTGCAATAACAAGGATGATAACTTCCAGTCATTTAAATGATGCCAAGGATGTTCATCGTACGAAAAACGTTTAAGCATTTATATGACCAAACAGAATAATCCTATATCTACCATAATTTGATGTAATTAAGTATTTCTCAAAAAGATAACATGCATTCATTGATGATTGTAGCCACAAAAACAGGATCTTAAGTTTGTATGCAAAAGAGTGGATATCCTATCACTAGTCAATATTTCTAGAATAACAACCAGCCTATCAGCATTCCTAACATCAACATCAACATTCCACTCAGCACCAAACAGTTGTACAACCTTCTAAGCTCTCGCCTCGCTGCAATTCTCTGCACCCACTCTCGTTCAGCCGGGTTCATGCCCTGGGCGTAGGATGCAGGTACTCCGGTCACTACTTGAGATATCCTGTTCCCCTGCTGTGGTCGTGATGACTCTCCTCTTACTCTAGAGGAATTCTCAAAAGTCACTCGTCGTGGTAATGGAACACTCTTCCTAGGCGTGACTCTAGTCCTTGGGTCGTGAAAGGTTTGAGGTGGAAGATCAAGTACTGGCTCCGATGGGGGTAGTATAGATGCTGGTGGTGAGGCAGGTGTCTCGCTGGTTGCTATGTCCTCCTGCTCGTACGGATCTACCTCCACATTAATGGATGAGCTCCTTCGAGATTGGCGAATCACATATCCGGATTCATCTACCGAATATTCACTTGATGCAAGTGATGCCATAGTGATCTGCGATATTAACAATCTTACTTACGAAACGCACCATCTATAAATACTTAGTGATATAACCAAAGCTTCTAAACAAGACTAAGGGTGGCAATCAAGCTAGAATTTCTATCTAGAAAGTCTTTGGTTCATCTTACATATAAAAGTAATGGATTTCTCATACATCGGTCCTCTGGCAAACCAATGGAATTCTATTTCATTGATCGCTGGTTCAACATCCATACTTAGAAAAATAATAGATTTCTCGTCCATCGATCCTCTGGTTCCTCACACTTTGTAATCCAATGGATCTCCCGTCCATCGGTCTCTGGTTTCTCATACTTTGCACTACCAGAGCCTCTGGTTGCACCACCAGAGCCTCTGGTTCAACTTACATACTTAGAAAAATATTAGGTAACCCGTTAATCGGCCTCTGGTTTCTCACACGTTGCACTACCAGAGCCTCTAATCTATCATCTCTGGTCCTTCTAACCAGAGATTCTGGTATATCATGATCACTTAATAATACAAAGGATTTTCTACCCATCGCCTCTGGTCCTTCCAACCAGCGCTTCTGGTCCAACATGGACAACAATCTAAAGGATTTGCTATCCTTYRCMTCTGGTTCTTCTAACCAGCGCTTCTGGTCCAACATGGACAACAATCTAAAGGATTTGCTATCCTTCGCCTCTGGTTCTTCTAACCAGTGCTTCTGGTCCAACATGGACACTTAACGAAAATAAGGGATCTCTAATCCTTCACCTCTGGTCGGTCTAGGGCAATGGATATTCATAATTTGTGCAACACATAAAATCATGCTTTTCATAACAATTTCTTAGCTGGAGCATATCTTTAGTACAGCCAATTAAATTCTTATTATATGTAAATTAAACATAGGTGATCAGGCTCTGTTTAATTGTCATATAATAATGTGACCCGCTTTGCGTGAATAGGTATATTTTAAGTCACTTGAAAACTGTTTTGAAAATATTTGGTTATAGTTTATGGCTTTTAAGGAAAAACCGATGTTCTCTATAACCGAGGCTCTAATACCAAATATGTCACACCCCGCCTAAAGTAGAAACACGAGATGTAGCAGGTAAGCGAGTCACAACAACAGTTAATAAACAACACCATTCAAGTTTTACTAAAAGAAATCAAGTGTAACACCCATAACCAAATTGGGATAAAATACTTCTTTTACAAAATCTTCAATTGCGAACTTAATCGGTCTTGCCACGATTATGCTCCCAAAATACTTCATTTCTTACTTATTACCTGAAATGCATGGAACATAAAACAACGTCAACTACAAAGAGTTGGTGAGCTCACGGGTTTTCACATGCACAAAATATTACAATGCATAAATCATTTATTTGCAAACTTATATGTAAATTTTTGCACTTAATAAATGTAAATCTACCACGATGCTTAAAATTGAGACGTTACTGAGCCTTACCTGACCAATGTGCCCCATTATTTTACGAACAACCATAAGTAGCCGTACACTTACTTAGGTCCCACAGTTCGTAGTAGTACTAATTCAGCGGTGGTCCAAATTCCACATGATTAGACTAAGAAAACATAGGTAATGTGCACCCCTTTCTGGGTGGAACTGTCAACACAATAGCGGCTATCCACAATACCACGGCCCGGGGACGTGCCCGAGTTAACAAGTAGGGTTTACGGACGGGGACTTTATTTGGAAACATACTCCCAAGCACATCAATTTAACATTTATTTCATAGTGCAAAAACAGTCAATATTTCATGACATAATAAAGTTGACTAAACAGTTCTTTAGTCCGATGGT